TTTTTTTTGTCCAGGCATTTGTGCACCCCTGGTACCGGTCCGGACTGTCCGGGTCCGGTGATGTCCGGGTGTCCGGTAATGTCCGGATTACCGGACAGTCCGGACTGGTCAAGACACTGGTCCGGAAGACAGTCCGGAAGTGTCCGGTGTTCGGGTCCGGGGTTACCATGGTTATTATACAAAACCGGGAAGCGGGCCCAGCGTCCCTTACAAGAACAGCAGCCCGGGTTCCGAATCCGGCAACTCCGGCCGGATTCAGATCCAGGAAATGTTCATCCTAAGTAATCATGCCAGCAATCACCAATCACGCCAATGACCTCTGCAAGGTCTCGCAGCTATCCTACTCTTCTAGAGTAGCCTGCACTAACCCACGGGGTCTTAGCGTCTAGCTGCTGGTACACTGAGCCCATGTTGGAGACAGTGGGGCAGTCGTTACACCATTCGTGCAGGTCGCTACTTATGCGACACAATTGTGTTAGTTGAAATAAACTTCAAACATCATTTCAGTTTTCAACCGAGGCCTTCCTCCTCCGTGTGTCCTACAACCAAACAGGTACCAAACAAAACAAACAGCAATACAACTACAACCAAACAGCCACAAGTAAAAAGACATAGAGAAAGATAAGAAGAATGCAACAAGAAAACGAGGAACAGAATCTCACAAAAAAAAAAGACGAAAAGGACAACTCCGTACAGACTGCTCTTGCACGGAAACCTTGACCAGATTCGGAAACTGCATCCAATGAGAAAGGGAGTGACTGTCCTTCGGGACATCTGTTAAAATTGAAACGATACAGAGAAAGAGAAGATTAGCATGGCCCCTGCGCAAGGATGACACACATAAATCGAGAAATGGTCCAAAAAAAAAAAAGGAAAAAAAGAAAAGAAAGGAAGCGATTTATTGGTTTAGTCCGGTATCCTTTGTTCACCACTTTGTGTGTCCAGTCTGTGGCAACAGCCAGCTTGATATTGTATTTGACCTCCGGTCTTATCATTGGGGGGCGTAAGCCTTTCTCCCCTTTTGACTGCGGAGTTTCTGAAAGTCCAAAGAGTCCAAAGCACGGCGCCCCGCAATGTTTCCTCTGCGTACCCTAGGGGTCCAATGGGTGTCAGCTGCAATTTTTTTGTTTTTGTTTTTGTTTTAATATCACTCTCTGTCTGTGAATAACGTTTTATAACTAAGTTGTATTGCATTAATTTACTTTTTTTTTTTCCCCAGAATTTTTTTTCTTTTTTTTTTCTTTCAGTTCCCCCCACAAAATTGGTGCGGAGGGCAGAGTTCGATGGAATACAACACAGTACAAACTCCATGCAACGGAGGAATACATCACACTTACAAAAAACTTGATTTTTTTGTATGCCAGACATCCAATCCTACTTCTGCCCTCCCCCCCTCCMCCYCCCCCCCCTCCCCCCCGCAGCAACCAACCAAAAAAGTGCAAAGAAAAAGAGGACAAAAAAAAAAAATAGAGCCTCCCAAGTTCACTGAGCAAGAAACTGTACTTGTTGCTAGGTTGTGGTTCCTTCCACGTACATGGACTATACGTCAAGGCGGGTACTGACAACCGGATGGCTTGAAGGAGAGAAGTTGAGTCAAAGCTCTGCGGATGATGTCGGCGAATTGGTGAACATTGGTGTCATCTGTTATTTAAAGCAGGTAAGTATTATTTCTGTTTGTAACTTTATGTATGAAGACAATTTTTCCTGCGTCCTTGGACCCGCTATACATGTACTTACGTATTATAGTGTTGATCACCCCAGGCTGAAGAAAGGAGAAGTGGGTGATGGTTTGTCGCCCCTGAATTAAAGGACGTGGGTGAGCGTTAATGAACACACGACAGTTCAAAACACTAAATGGGTAAATAGTACTAAATACGGATAAAGTAAAAGACTGCGCGATCACCAAAAAGCCATATTGATGCCAGCAGTTTGTAATTACTAATTATGAATCTATGATTTTTTTTTTTTTTTGGGTTGGAAACCAGGGAAGCTGTTTTTATTTGAAATATTAAACCTAATGCAATGGAATCATATTTGACCTAGGAAGATTTTTACGCCTGGCCGGGCCTGGGCGGCCGGACACGCGGGCGTGTTGGCCAGGGGGGTCTGAGGCCCGGGGTACGCTGGTGTGAGAGTAAGTGGGGTCTTTTTTCTTTTTTTTTGGCGGGGGGGGGGGTTGTTTCTGCGCATGCCCAGAGCTTTTTGAGTGCTGGCTGTCAAGGAGGGGAAAGGGGGTGTAAATTTGGTTTTAGAGGGGGCAAAGGGGTTTAAAGGGGGGTGCCTTAGTCTGATTCTGTCATTTTGTTTTTTATCTTCAATTCAGTGAGGAATTCTGATGTGCACTGCCGGTGGATCCTAGGGACTGGGGTTGTATGTTGAACCCCCGGAACCACCAACCGGTTTTTCTTTATCAGTATACCACAAAGTTGGGTTACAACCTTATGAGACCTCGAACTGATGTCAACTGGACTGTAGCAAGAAGATGGATGGCGACAGGATGGATACAGGATACGCTGCCGAGACTGGCACAAGGTCTCTCGAGATATTGCAGACTGTTGTTAGATCTTCCGGTAGTTAAACAAGCGAGTCACTTGTGGCTCATAACCCACCTGGCAGTGCCAACTGTCTCTTGGTGTGCTCGTCGAACTGCAAAAGCCACACCTTTTTGCAGTCAGTGCCCTGGAACGAGAATTGAGGATTTACAACACATGCTGCTACATTGTGAACTTTCCCGACCTTTTTGGGAATGGTGGAGATCAGGGTCAGTCCCAGTTCCTGGTCCGACGGACAGATGGTCTGATGACTTCATCCTTCTAGGGGCGGTCACACGATGCCATCAACCTAATGGACCACTGACTCCGACGATCCATAGGGGAGAAAGACCGACTCCGACGATCCATAGGGGAGAAAGACCGACTCCGACGATGATAAGAGCTGAGGTAAAATTTGTCATCCAACAGAGTGGTCTCTTAAAGTCCAAAAAAAAGGCCATACATCATAGTTGCAGCGCACCAGTGCGCAGTGCGGTGTGGGGTGGTGCACACTGTGCTGTGCACTGGAATGACAGCGCGCGCACATATCTGTGGAAGAGAGAGAGAGAGAGAGAGAGAGAGAGAGAGAGAGAGAGAGAGAGAGAGAGAGAGAGAGAGAGAGAGAGAATAGATAACAAAGGGTCCCCTTCACGTCAATTTGAGGGCCCCTGCAGGTACCTCGAATGACTCCTACCTTACATGCGGAGTCATTGCCGACCATTGCTTCAATTAGGAGGATGGTCTCTATATCTATGGAAGAGGTAGGGTAGACCACCAATATATGCTTTGGATTCGAGTTCAAGGCTGTAGCTCGGGAGTTATGGGTTACCAATTCAGCTAGAGCCTGTTCTTGTTGCATTACAGAAATAAAAAACCAGAAAAAGATGGATTGTTTTGTGAAAAAATATTTGGACGTATAAAGAGTGGAAGATGTGCTTGTGGAAAATATGAGCCTATTCCAGAACAAGGAGAAGGAATTTTTTTTTGTAAAAAAGGCTGGGTCCACGTGATTCTCAGGGCCTCCTTCCACCACTCACGGAATGTATACAATATTAGTAGAATGAATCTTCTGCTAAAACATGGAACCATACACCGCCATATGCTATGTCTTTTGTGCATGTGGTGAGTAGTGGACCAGGCCCCACTATACATATTCGTAAGAAAACAAAAACAAAAAAACGAGAGCTCCCTCCACCACTCACCAATTGTATACAATAACAATATTAGTAGAATTAGTAGAATGAATCTTCTGCTAAAACATGGGACCATACACCGCCATATGCTATTTCTTTTGTGCATGTGGTGAGTAGTGGAGCAGGCCCCACTGTACGTATTCATAAGAAAACAAAAACAAAAAACCGACAGAGCTACGGGCATCTTCATCCTAACCCATAACTGCCGACATGCAGACCTGAAAGCCAACCTTCAGAATATATTGGTGGTCGGCCAAACATGAAAATGCAACCTGTGACTTCTGCAAAGTTCATGGGGCAGGTCGTTACTAGGCAACCACCCCCTTTTTGCGAACTTACCCCACCACTGTGTGGGATTTGCAGAAGGGAGGGGGAAGGCCAGTTTCCATCCCCTGCCTAAGAGAAAATTTGGAATGAGCCCTATTTTATGCTTTGCCTTTTTGAAACTCCTGGGGGTAGGGCCTGCGGAGATTGAAATGCGGCAACCCTTGCCCAAAAAGAAGTTCGGGCCGGGGACGCGGCCGGCTTGCGAGCTCGCGCAGTGCGTTTAACATTTTTGCCGAGTTGGGGACCCTAAGGAATGACAAAACCCCTACTTTTTTTTTTGTTGTTTCGGACCTAATTTTAACAGTGCGGTGCGTTTGGGTGCGCTGTGCGGTGCGCTGCACGTGGTGCGCAAATTGTGCGCAAATCCGCGCACCGAGGTGCGCCGCAACTATGCTATACATCGAAGTCACTAAAGATTTTTCTTCAGCATCGGGATAGATTCCCAGACTTGCTCAGAGTACAGCTGCCTCAAGGCACTTATCCGCAGCTTGAACTTTCAGCTTTTTTCATCGTATAACAAATTGTTTCGTTGCACTGATTACAGTTATCTTAGGATGAAGGTCTCAGCCTATATACCACTAGACTTTTTGTTCTTCTGTTTTTTCTTTCAGTTTTTAATGGGAATATGTAGTGAATAGAGTATATCATCCTTTGAGGTTCTTTCATGCTCTGAGAATAGAATAAGTTAGAAGTAAAGGTTATATTTTGGTTTGAAGATTCCTCATTTGTTATCGTTTGTAGACTGCTCATTTGGTGGGATTCTGCGACTCCTGACATGAGCTTGGCTGGCGATGCCTTGCTCTAATTGGGAAGTCGACTGTACATATGTGAGGGATGCTGGGCCCGCTTCCCAGATTGTATAAAATCTTGACCGAGGTAGAAAAAAAAAAAAAAAAAAAAAGTCGTTTACAACATATTTTGCCAGGCCAACATATTTTTTCCGGATGTTTTTGTTTCTTTTTTAATTTTTCCCGCCCCCTGCACTGGGACTGCCCATAACCCTGGTCGGGGGTCATGCCCAGCCAGCATTGATTACTCTGGATTCCACAGGATTAACTGAGCAGGTTGTTGAAGGGCTCTGCTAATGTCAACCGTTTTTTTTTTTTGTTGTAATGACCCGCCAAAAACACAGACTGAGAACACTGCCGATATCTGGGATTTGTCACTGGAATGGATGCCTTGTTGTGATTCCCGCATTCTGCTGTGATTCCAAGTCTGTGTGTGTGCGTGCCTGCTGGTTGCATACCTGTCTGAGTGCTTGCTGGTTGTGTGTGTGTGTGCGTGCATGCCTGTCTGAGTGCTTGCCGGTGGGGTATGTGCGTGTTTGACCCGGAAGGGTACTTGTTGGTTGCAAGGCCCACCGGGCCGGTACTTACCTGTGGCCGTGACTCTGGAGGGTTGCAGGGGGGTAAAACACG